TCCCCCGTCCCATAAACATGGGGACAGGGAGCGTGTCACTAAGAACGCCTGCGAGGAGACTATAGTAGTTGTTATATTATCTCACAATTATGATGATATTTTATTGTATATTTTCAGTTTCCAGAAGGTTTAGTTGCTTGTGTTAGTGACAGTTATGACATCTGGTAAGAGCACTGTTGTTAGTAATCAAATGTCATGGATACAGCTTATTGTCGATATTGGACAATATTCCAGGCATGCTTGCAAGGATCTATGGGGCAGGGAATTGAGAGATCTTGTAGTTAGCAGGGAAGGCAAAGGTATGTTCCTATGGACACAGCGATTAACATAATTAGGCACACATTAGTGTTAGGGAAACTAGCTAAAAATCCAAACACATCATGCGACCAACACTTGGCAAAAACAACCTTTGCTCATTGAATGACCATCATCATAGCCTTATAATGCACCTTGATAGTCTTCTTCACTGTTCCTGTTGTGCTGTAGTCGTGCCTTTAACGTGAGAAGGTCGGTGCAATTATAGTACCCTGTGAGTAACTGTTTGAACTCAGGTTTCTATTGCATATTCACTGGTTGTCTCGCTTGGATGCAAASACACATTACCAGAGGTTGGAGGGAACCAACATAAATACATGTCTTGGTGCCAAGTCTCTTCATTTTTAAAAATCTCTTCATTTTTAAAACATAACACTCCTCACAGCTAGTTTTGGACCGAGCGAGGAAAAACCCTCAGAGCGAGGGAGAGCCTACAAACTTAATTTGCCTCTAGAACAGGAACCGAACCATTGCCACAGCGATGACAGACCAGTAATAACCGCTTGGTCAACCTTGCTCCTCTAAACAAATATCTCCAAACGTCTATTTTAACATAAATCATTTTATTTACGTTGACTTAACCACATGTAAGATTCGTTGTGATAGTGCTGTGTTTGTTTTAGGTACTTTGGTTATACGTCCTGATTCAGGTGACCCACCAAAGGTTGTAGTAGAAGTATTACAAATTCTTGGCAGAGCATTTGGAACCAAAAAGAATTCAAAAGGATTTCATGTACTTCCTTCTTATTTGAGAGTTATCCAGGTAAACATTATATCAGACAGCCATGTACGATGATATTGGGTGGAGCAGTTCAGGTGTGAAGGTGGAAGGTTCTTTTTCCCTACTCATAGTTAATAATATTAACTATGCCCTACTCAAAGGATCATTTCACATTCAATGCTAATTTAGATAAGTTGAGTTGGTAATGTTGTATTTCGTTTGTGTTTTCTTTTCTTTTAAAAGCTGCTTTGATTTAACAAATAAGTACAAAATAAAACTAACAATGTTGGTGTCAGGAGTTCACCGTTGTTACTACTAGAAGAGTTTCACGTAGTTTTTCTACATTAATTATCAGCTGGTATAAACGTTCAGGAAGCTATTGAATAACTCAGCAAATTAAAGCCAATTTGTTTCTTTTTGTTGAATAAGCGTAAGCAAGGATAACAAATCCGAAGTATCAGTACAAGTGACAAGAAAAACATGGATGTATTCCTATAAAAATGAACTCGTTTCATGTAAAGAATCTGTGACGGTCACAAATAAAGAACCGCTCTAGCCTCGCACCCATGAGTCATTGACAGTGAATTGTTTATTATGATTTATGATTTGATTTACAATGTTGTACAGGGCGATGGAATAAGCTACGAAACGTTAACAGAAATCTTAGAAAATATGAAACAACATAAATGGAGCTGTGATAATCTGACATTTGGGAGCGGAGGTAAAGTAAACACCAGATGATAATAAACTAATAATAATGTATGTTTGATCATCCTCCAACAAACGCCTATAGATCATTGTTCTTTAGCTTGGTGCCGCCGAATCAAATGTAACAATAGTTTTGGTTTGGCTGCACGCAGGCTATTGTTCTTGGGATTTACGAACAATACAAAAAAGGCACGAAAAAGTACGAGGACTACAACTCCCATCATGCTTTGTTGCACAAAATGGCGCTGATGAACATTGCTAATTGTTAGTTAATCCAACAGGCTTAACCAGAAAGAAATGAGAAACATTAGATAACTGGAACGAACATTTTTGTGCAACCCATTTTATTATAACGTTTGTCCGCCTTGTTTCATGGGGTTGGATGTTGTTTCCATCGAGGATCAAACTTGTGTTGAACAGAGTGTGAAGTTGATCGATGTATGATCCAAGAGTGTTTGATAGTAGTTTGACAGTGACTTACTGTAGTATCGTTACTTTCTTTCTCTTGTCAGGTGCGCTGCTTCAGAAGTTGAATCGCGACACGCAAAAGTTTGCGTACAAGTGTTCTTATGCCGTGGTGGACGACAAAGGGGTAAAAAACATTTTTCTTCTTTTTTCTTCAACGTTTTATTGATTTTTCCCGTTTTCTGATGTCGTTGTAGGTGGATGTTTACAAACAACCAGTGACAGACCCCAACAAGAAATCAAAGAAAGGACTCCTCTCTCTTGAGAAGAACTCGGATGGTTCTTTCGTCACCATTGAAGGCGGTAAAGGAGATCCTGATAAGGTGCATGACATTCTCATATTTATATTTAGATGACTTAACTTTCAATCCAAAAGATTGTCCCACATTAGGCGCCAACGCTGAAAGTGCGGTAGATCTGGAACTCTCTCCAGAACACGTGGCTCTACCTTTTATATCCCTCCCCGTTATCCCTAGAGAATATAAGGATTAGACCCCAGTCCTACATATATATAAATACAGAATGTTTGATGGGAACACGCCGTTATGCCATGATTGCATGCTTTTATAGTATACTAAAAGATAGTGTTTTTTCTTTGTGGCGAGCAACTTTGACTGGCTTTGAAACAAGTTGCAACCATGCTTCTGTTACATTGTCAGCACCTTTCTCAGAAATTCGTCTCGAAATTTGTTGCTATCAAAGCTGCTGCTGTGTTGTACATGTTGTTGCTATTATTGTTGTTGCAGCTATTGTTGTTGCTGCTATTGCTGTTGTTGCTATTGCTGTTACTTTTGATGTTGTTATAAATGTTGTTGTTGCTATTGTTGTTGCTACTGTTGTTGCTATTGTTGTTGCTTCCATTTAACAATGTGCGCTTTCGTTTATAAGGATCTTCTGACCACAGTATTTGAAAATGGACGATTAGTAAAAGAATTTACCTTTGAAGAGGTACGAAAAAACGCCGAGATACCATTGGTCACGAACTACACGGTAAGAGAAACACTATCTAGTATTAATGATTGTATCGTGAACATCGACGTGTTTCTAATCCAAGGGCGATTTATTCGCGGTACTTTGAGTATACGATTAGTTCAGCATTGACGGATTTCTTTTCTCCATGTAGAGCTGAGGAAGGAATTTACGTCACTAATTACTAGAAATATGAACTCCAATTCTGGTTGATGGCATGCTATACATCCGTGAATCATAGACTAAGTAACTACAAACTAACATAAGAATATGCAGATATATTACCATGTATCAACAAAATAAAATAATGGTGCATTGTGGTCTACAACCATATTTGGCACCATGAACAAAAAATGATCATGTTTGACACTGAATCTAGACCACAATGCAATACGTAATGCTATGTTATTCTGTTGTATTGTTCGTCTGCGAATCAACCACGAAGATATTGTTCCTTGTACTGGGATATATGTACTTTGCTCTCATTGGCTGCTTATTTTTGAATTCTAACGAGCGCGCTTATTGGCTACAGTAACCTCGAACCAGTCTGACTTGAAAAAAGGAAAACAGCAATAGCGGTGTAGGCAAGCTTGCTTTAACGGCCTCTGTCAAAGGTTCAAAAGGAAACTCTTGAGCTTGTCTCTTACTTTAAAACTCGCTTTACCGTCGACTGAAATCTACGACTGAAATGTTTGACAATAAATCATTAACAGAGTTAATGCAGTATCGCTCCATAAAACACAGTCTATCACACCAAGAAAAGCCGACAGTGCCGCCGAGAAAAACGTTGACATATGCGCTGACCTGCGTTTACCCAAGTACAGAGAACACGATCTTCGTCGCTGATTCACAGACGAACAAAACTGTTTGGCTGCACGCAGGTTTTAGTTCCTGTTGCCTGTTAAAACGATATTTTAAAGTTATCAGTATATGTTTTCCGGATTATTTTTCACAGATTATTATTACGATATTATTTTACACACACTAAATATTGTCTGAGGTCATACTAAGATATGGCTTGTAAATGGCATTCGGTTCATGCACTAATGACGTCACTCTAGTGAGTTTTTGGTCATGACTTCTAGATTTTATTATTGTGATAGTTCAATACTCCAGTATCAAAATCTCTTTTACGTAGTCCTAGCCTGAATTGCGCACAAGTTTATATTGTTATCTTAACATTATAATAGAATATAAATTGCACGGTTTTTGAGGCTGCTTGAGATTGGAGTATTCTCACTGTGTAGTTTGTCTCGACACCAATACTTTGTTATCAATACTTTTCTATTCTAATATAGAGTAAAAGAAGGTTAGTTGTACATAATGTTAAGTGAGCTTATTTATTACTATGTATTGAATGAACTGTACATCTAACACATCATAGTAATGATCGTTCTCTTGGTAGTAATCATGGATTTTTACATTAATAGAAAAAATTGCACAATTTGGAAGTGTCTTTGTGTCTTATATACAACATAGTAGGCGAGGAAACTAGAAACTTGTCCTCATTCCGACTCGCTCAGTGCACCAGTAGACTGTGGACGAAGTTCAATCAGTCAGTCGTCCATGGTCTGTCATTTTTTGAAGATCGACGAGCAATGTTTTCTTCGTACTCTTGTTCGTTCATGGCTTCTTCTTTTTCTGCATTCAGTTCCTCAGTTAAAGTCCTTTTTGGCGACTCTGAACCTGCGTCAAATATATCTCATGTCACATACTAGAGTCCATATTATGGCGGGCTGTCGGTAAAATCGGGTGGGTCCGTAATATCGGGCTGTCCGTAATATCGGGTGTGTCTGTAGTGTCGGGATGTATCGAGGGTGGTGTCTCGAATTTGAGAGTGGATTGTGTAGAGACTTACCATTTCCTTGTATAATTGAACTTCTGACTAAATCTAGAGAATCCTCATCAAGTGCCTTTCCCACAGAAGAAGCTGCCATGTCCGCTAAATTCGAAACAAACACAGAATATTTTTGGATCATTTGTAAAATACTTTGTGAGAAAGGAGGTTATTTCGGGCGAAAATATCCTAGCTTGCAAATAAAATCGGACCTCGCTGAGATTCCCAGCGCCATTATCTTGGTTCCTTCATTACTACTAGGACTGCAAGTACTTGAGGATCTTTTTGTTTTTGTTGTAGTTGTTTGTCTCGTCGGTTTTGTAGAGCCAGTAGTCAGGGATGTCAGGGATGTTCTTACCTAGACGATCTATCGGTTTTGTAGAGCCAGTAGTCAGGGATGTTCTTACCTAGACGATCTATCGGTTTTGTAGAGCCAGTAGTCAGGGATGTTCTTACCTAGACGATCTATCGGGCTTTCATAGCTCATGTCCACGTGATCTGCATTGGTCTTCGGGATATCTCCATAACCATATTCATAATAACCTATTGTTAAAAACCAAGCAATTTGTAGCCATTAAATACAGATACTACTATAGACTCGATGTGCCAAGTTCAAAAGTGACTTTCTTGCGTCCCTAAAAGCAAAAGATGGTAGTGGCGAAGTGAATTGAACTCGCCTTGCTTTTGTAGTTTTAGTCTTTCGTCCTTAGCATGGTCTTCAGATGAATCTAAATTGAAACGAGGCCTGATTACATAGCCATTTCAAGATGTCAGCATTGGCTGTCTTTGATTGGTCAATATATTACAACCAGTAACATTCGGGCGTGCATGCATTCTTGTCGTACTTTTCTATATTCCATTCATTGACTGTAGGTTAGTGAATGCTTTTCTTTCAATTTCGAATTTTTACCACAATATTCTCGTGCGCTGATTGTTTAGTGTATACCCTTACTAGACTGGCTGACAGCAAGTCTGTGATGTTT